TGGGTTAGTTGGGTCCTGACCAGCTTCTGAAAATTTCATGACGCCACCATGATCACATGACCTTCACCATTTCTTGGACAACCTTACCTCTGTTGCAACCCCAATGGCGTTAGCTTCTGGTTTTGTATGTTCTACTTGATCCCTTGCTTTGCCTTTAGCAAATGGTTGAGCCCTCTGTATTCTCCCTCTCTACAGTCTTCTTTACTTCTCCATAGAGATTGTTGAGCTGTGAATATATCTCCTTATCTCATTTTCCTATTGTTTCTTCCGCTGTGGTGTTAATATTATCTTTTGATGAAAACTTGTGGCAATACTGTTCAATTTGTGAGTGTCATGGTCACTGCTTTCATACATACCGGCAAATAAATTATGTTGCTATCCTGAATAAGACATTGTTACTCTCCTAATCAGCAACAGCTGATGGGACTACTTTTTTGCGGATGCAGCTTATAGAAGTTGGATTAATTTGAAGGACATAAGGGAGTAGTAGCTTAATATGTAATATAAACCTTCATGTTTGTTGTAAAGATATGCCGCCGTTATCATGGACTTGATTGTAATCATTAAGTAGCGGCAATAAAAAAGGTCTGCTAGTTTACACACACGAATCTTATAAAATGCATTAGTTCTTGCTTTTGCAACTATTGGTTGTGTTGAAGTGCTTGTCTAAACTCAGAAAGACGTGGAGGATGTTTTCTAGATTTTGGAGAGAATCATAAAGTTACATGCCAGGTTTCTGTTACAAGTGTTTGATGTGCCACTATTGTCTTCTTGGGTGCTTCAGATTTTGGAAATGAACCCAGAGGATGAAGCTGAGGAAGATGGTGCAAATATCGATCTTGACTCGCAAAGGAAGGGTAAATGTGTTGTGCTAAAAACATCTACTCGTCAGGTAAAGCACAATACATCATGCATGCTATTTATGTAAATTATCTTTTATTAATTTTTCTATATAAGTGAGCCAAATATTTAAGAATATTGTAAATTCTTGCAGTTATAGCCAGAAGTTCTATTTTTCTGGCTTGAGCTAGTGGTCACCAACTTGCTCACATTTCTGTATCCTCTGCAGACTATTTTCTTGCCTGTCGTTGGCCTCGTGGACCCAGATAAGCTGAAGCCTGGTGATTTGGTGGGTGTGAATAAGGACAGTTACTTGATATTGGATACATTGCCATCTGAGTATGATTCCCGAGTCAAGGCGATGGAGGTTGATGAAAAACCAACTGAAGATTACAATGACATTGGAGGCCTTGAAAAACAGGCAAGCTTTTATCTTGATACAATAACTGCAAGCATACACCCCACATACTGATGTTATCAGGTTTGTGATATCCCTTTTGGATCGTATTTTATGTGACAGATACAAGAGCTAGTTGAGGCCATAGTTTTGCCGATGACACATAAAGAGCGGTTCCAAAAATTAGGGATACGTCCACCAAAAGGAGTGCTCTTGTATGGGCCTCCAGGGACTGGGAAGACATTAATGGCACGTGCATGTGCTGCGCAAACAAATGCCACTTTTTTGAAGCTAGCAGGACCCCAGCTTGTTCAGGTAGCTATATTTACTGTCCCTTAATATACAAAACATTTATTACCCACAAAAAGTGCTTCTGCCGGGTTAGGTTTAAAGAATTTCAGGTGGTAATGTGATTAGATGGGCATAATTGCATGTTCATTTCATATGTTTGTATTAATTGATATTGTCATAAACCATTCTTATCTACATATGGTTATGTCAATAATACTACATGCAGCAACAAGAGAATGCAGCTATACTTGCCTAGGGGTGTTCAAAAAAACCGCCGGACCGTTCAAACTGGCCGAACCAAGTCAAACCGGACCGTTTTTGGCGGTTTGAGCGGTCTAGCGGTCCGGTCTGGTTTGAAAAATAGCGGAAACCGGGCGGTCTGCGGTTTAGACTTTTTTTTGGGCGGTTTGGACCAACCCGACCGCCATAGGTGTATATATATATATATATATATATATTTTAGTATTATAATTATTAAGTCCAATTAAATGCTCAACTTTAATTTATACCTTATGGGCTATTAGCCCAAACATAAAGCCTTATCCAAAAAGATTTCTTAAATCCCCTAAATCTAAATCCCTAATTCGGTAATTCCTAATCCAGTAATCCACCTCTATTTCGGTATTTCACTATTTTCTAATCGTCGSRACGTCGCCTAATTCATCGAAATCGAACAAACTTGCCGACTTGCCGTTGCTGCTTGCYGGATTGGAAAGTAGAAACGACAGAGAGTCTAGCTGCCGTTGCCGACTTGTCGTCTGCCCTAGTCTAGTAGCTTGCCGTGGAAACGAAAGCGACGAAACAGAAGTCTAAATCCCTTAAGAACATATTTGTAAAMGAAAGTGAAGAACATATTTAAAGYCYATTAAAGRCMCAAACCGCCTAAACCGGTCAGACCAGACCGCCTTTTCGTGGTCTGGTTTGACCGGTCTGGGCACTTGGTTTCAAACCGCTCGGTCTGGAAATTTCACAAACCGCCATTACGGTTTGGTTTGTGGTCTGAGGGCTTAAACCGCCCAAACCGGACCGCGAACACCCTACTTGCATTTGAATCATTAACTACAAGAAACATTTGCATTGTCAGAATGAGTCTCCGCTTGAACTTTTTGCATGATTTAAGGGGTAGTTGATGCATTTTGTAGGATTTGTTGTAACTTATACTCTTAAGCAGTTCTAGGATCATGGAGTTAAAATCACCAGCATAGCAGACTGTAGAAAACCAGCTTCCATATCGCTAATAAATTGATCGGTCATCTAATGCAAACCACGATTAGATTATGACTAAATCAACGTGCCAACTTCATGGTTGTTGTAGATTATATTCAGATTTGTGCTATTTCTTGGATGGATTCTTGCATTTTGTATTTAGTGATGCGAACGACGTGTTTTGCACTGATGAATCTTTATTGGGCTTATGTGGACAGATGTTTATTGGTGATGGTGCAAAACTTGTTCGTGATGCATTTCAACTGGCCAAAGAGAAATCTCCTTGCATCATTTTTATTGATGAGATTGATGCTATTGGTACAAAACGGTTTGATAGGTATGTACATCACTGTTCTGTTTGCAGTATATCCCCCCGAATCCTTTATCAAAAAATATATATCCCCCACCAATGTCAATAGCATTAAAATAATTTGTTGGAGATGTGGGTGGGCGGCATAATATATTCATAAAGCTATTGTCTATTCATACATCTCCTTGATACAAGTCTCATTTGATTGCAGTGAAGTTAGCGGAGATAGGGAAGTGCAGCGGACTATGTTGGAACTACTTAATCAGTTGGATGGTTTTAGCAGCGATGAGCGGATAAAGGTACTTCTTTCCATCTCAAGTGGAAGTGTGAAACTATCTTTGTTATTTCTGAGTCGATATGGGCTTACAAATTTTCTTTTTTGTGCCTTACAAGAACTGCTTTGTATATTGAGGGATAATTACATTTTTATCCTTTGAACCAACAAAGTAAAAAAGAACTTTGTTAAGATGAATCATGGAGAGAGAAAAAAGTGGACAACTGATAATATAACATCTAGTTTCACCAGGTCCTGCTTAGAGGTGCTTTTCACCAGTCGCATCCTACTCTTCACGTCTATACTTGTTGCTATATGGTGAGCTCTAAAATTTAGAGCATCAAACTAGCAGAAACATGCAGTTTGTAAATAATGAGTACTTTCCAAGTTCGATCCTGTAACTCAAATCAATAATGCAAAAACGATTTAAGAATCCTTGGATTTAGCTGTTTTGATAAATGTCATCTGATTTTGACATCATCTCATCATTTCCTTGTGTTGGCGAGTAATGGAAGTGCTGTTTTAAATACTACATTTTTTGGTGATCTGGTGCTTACCTGCAGTTGCTTTTTTCATGTGAAAACTGCAGGTGATAGCAGCAACAAATCGGGCTGATATTTTGGACCCTGCTCTTATGCGTTCTGGTCGGTTGGATCGTAAGATTGAGTTTCCACATCCTACTGAAGAAGCAAGGGCGCGGATCTTGCAGGTATCCTTTAATGAAGATGTTATTGGTTTTATATGCATTAAACTTGTTTAGCATGGTCATTGAATTATATTTTCTGTATTGTAGATCCACTCCCGGAAGATGAATGTTCACCCGGATGTCAACTTTGAAGAGCTGGCGCGGTCTACAGATGATTTTAACGGGGCACAACTGAAAGCCGTTTGTGTGGAAGCAGGCATGCTTGCTCTTCGACGTGATGCAACAGAGGTAGTCTCTGTCCCATCTCTCTGTGTATATGTTATAACTTATTATTTCTACATGTTCCTGAGATAAGATAAAGAGGTGCGTGGTTGGATGTAATGGTACAAATTGACCAGGCGCCAGTCTGCCATTTATAGTTTGATGGTGAAACTGGAAACGACCCTTTATTTTTGAAAATGCAATTTTGGCTAAAAACTCTTGTCAATCTTGTAGCAGTGGATGAGGATTCAATTATATTGTTTGTTTTACAGGTAAACCATGAAGACTTTAACGAAGGGATCATCCAAGTTCAGGCTAAGAAGAAATCAAGCTTAAATTACTATGCTTAGGTTGTGATTTTGGAATTGCATTGTACAAGTTCAACAACTACTTTTACCGTAATTTTAGTTGTATAAGATTTCACGTCTTCCTTTCATCTTGTGTCGAATCCTGCAGCAGTTGCTTTTATATGGTTCAGTTCGGGACGATTTGGGCCCAAGAACACTTCTTCTCTTGTATCTTGTTTATTTTGCATCTATTTTCTTCTAACCATCTGGTGGCTTTGATTCAGTTCAGTTTTGGTCATAATCTACAGCTTAACTATTGCTTATTAGAGATGGCTAAAGATCGGAAGTCAGTCTTCCTTCACAATATATAGTGATCATCATATACTACTAGAAAAGACAGAAAAAGTCACTTGGAATGGTTCTGTTTTCAAATGCTGAAAAAAACTTGTAATTGTCATCTTGAATCAACCAAAATATAGCAGAACTATACCAAACAAAATGCAAAAGCATCAAGTTCCTGAGAATGATATATAGCAGCACAAGGGTTTGTTGTTGCTTATTATGGTTGTACATAACAATCAAGTTTGATAAACACCACACCTGGACCTCAAACTATAAATTTGTTTCAACATTTGACCTCTTTTAGCCCGTATGCCAAATACAGAAAAGTTGGATCGGTTGCTCCTTCCTTGTAGTATGCGAACACCATTGTCCCATCATCGTGCATGCTCTCCCCTACAAAACTGCACAAACCAAGATTCACTTTTCAAATGCCATCCGTAGAAAAAACACGAGAGAATAAACCTTAAATAGAGGGCAGATAGAGGCCATGCCTTGAGGATTTTCATGATTGTTATCTTTAGGATTCCATGGGATTAGTCAAAGTTTACGCGAGTTGGGTGGATACCCATGGTTACAAAAAAAACATAAGAATAACTAACGCTGTGCTGGATTATTCATCAGCACCCCCCCTTCTATCCTACATGAAGAAACTCAGCTTTGACTTTTGCCTTCCGGTTGGCCGATTTTTCAACAAGTAATCAGTTCAGAACATAAGTCTAACCGAATTACATGTTTTCTGTGGTCTCAAAGCAGCCACTTTAATTTGTATATCACACACGGTGATGAAACTTTATGTTCAAAATTTATCTACATACATGGATGTCGGAAAAACTTAATTATGAAATAGAGATCTGAACTTCCATACAGTTGAATAACTTACAACTGAAGGTCACTGAGCTTTGACAGAAGGAATTTGGTGGCTCCTTCGATATTCTTCTTAAAAGCCTCTTGCTTTTCGGGTTCCAACTTGGGTGTCAACAATTTGATGTACTTCTTGATGTATGCGACAAATTGCTTTTTGTCAAACGGCGGTTGCTCCTATAAGATAGTAAAGAAACAATTTTGTTCATAAATTAAATAACAAGATTAAGAAGCATGATCAATAATCAATCGCATAGATTTGGGAACGTACCTGAAGTCTGAAGGTATCAACTATATCAACTACCTTCACAGCTTGGTCATCTACACCTTCATCATCCTCACCACCTTCAGCTGAAGGGTTAGCACCAATATCTACACTAACTGCACCTTGGACTACCCACTGATGGAAGAAAGGACAAAGGCAATTTCATATAAGTCGAAAAATATACGATTAACCAAAGGGGTGCCGGGTTGCTGATATAAGTCCAGCCTCCCAGGAGATCAAGGATTCAAACCTCACCAAATGTAAGGGGTGTGCATGAGTATTTGCCATATATAAATATTATATACTTCATATATACACACACACATATATATATACACACATACACATACACACAATTGATGAATTTGAAATCAAAGGTACAAAGTCATCCTTTTTACCTTTCCTTCTACTTCCCATAGCATTCCGTTCTCAATTTCCTTGTAGGGGAAGGAGTCAGAAAGAAGCTCATCACCTGAGATTTCACAAGTGGATCAAGTATAACAACACAAGAATCGAGTAAAGATCACACTTCATATGATGGAGAAAATGAACTTCTTCAAACCATCCAAGAACATGCCAAATATTTGACAAAACACGTAGTTCAGAGGAAGTGTTGACTAGTTGTCAAGTATCTCTAAATATCCTCCAATAATCTTGTAAATACAAACCAATATCAAATTTGTTATGATAACAATAGCAGATAGACCAAAGGGTCACCCGGTGCCGGGCCTTCAAAAATATTACATACTTCAAAAATAGAATGGCAGATTGGTAGCTTTAACTAAAAAATGTTACAAATTTTCATGCAACATCCCAAAATGAGAACCGCATGAATTTTTAAGGACGAGGGAAATATCTATCGAAGGACATGTTTGGCACTCTTAAGCTAGCTTATGGTACTGACTGCTAAGCTTAACCAAAAAGTGCCGTTTGACACATATCATAAGCTAGCTTTTTCTGATCGCAATGTAGGAACACTTTTTTAATAAGCTTGCTTCTAAGCCAACTAGTGAGCAACTTTAATAGCAATCAATAGTAGAGGAATATAACAAAAATAATATATTTTCATGTTCTCATACAGCCAGTAAACTCTTAACCAATCAATCTTGACTGGAATCTATATAATATAGATGACTACATTAGGAGCATTTCCATTCAATTAAAGACCTCAAGCAATAACGGTTCAATTTGATAGTCTTTCTATATATCTAAACATATGCTTTGACTGGGTTCAAGCAAAGAAATCGATTATACTTCTAAACCAAAACTCATCATATACACACTGCCTTAACCATCAAAGACGATGCTAACCCTTCTGGATCAACCTCCACAAAATCTGATAACTAAAAACGAAAATTGGATCGACCAAAACCCTAATCAACCTCCGTATACTACATAATTGTAGGCTTGTAGGAATACGAAATTTAAGACAATCACAAGAAAATCGTGAACACCGAACAACACATGCATATAATAACAACAATCTGCGTACTATAAACGCAAAACGAACAAAAATATATATGAACCTCTTTTTAGCAAATTCAATGCAATAAATAGAATTTAGAAGCGGCAAAGTAAGAATCATAAGTGTTACCAGTTAAGAGATCCTGATATACCAACATGATGATCGATTACTGCAGAAAAGGAAACCACAAACTCTGTGTACTGCAAATATGTTTCTGAAATATTACGGGCGGTGACCAACTATTTATAGGAGTCGAGCACGGGAATTGACGAGATTACCCCACTATGTGTTTCCAGAATTTTCTTTTCTTTATCAATGCGGAAAAAAGATTTATTGAAGAACAAAGTTACAAATAATCCTCCGATGTTTAGTTAGTTAACAAAAATACCCCTTTTCTTTAAATAAATTCCATTTCGACCCCTATTAGAAGTTATCCAATTCATGTGAGCAATGAAGGTCGTGAGAAAAACAGTTATGACACTACAATAAAATAGGTTTTATAGGAGATAACAATATCTAAGTGTCCTAATAAATTGTTTTATGGGTTTGAAGTTTATAGGACCAAATAATAAAACGTCCTAAATGAAAACGTTGCAATAAGTTTATAGATTACTTTTGAACGTCTAAATAAGTTTTTAGAACACTTTTAAAATATCAGCTATTTTATAGATAATTTTGAGAAGTGTTCTATAAACACATTTTTTATTTATTTTTTTATGAGCAGGCCCGGCCCTGGGCACGTGCAACCCGTTCGATCATACATGGCATCAATGCCCAAAGAGGCATGAAATTTTTATATAGTGTTAGTTTTTGGTTTTGGGGTTTAGTAATTTGAGACTTGGTCTTTAATTATAAACAGAGGCCCAACTGACCAGACCTGTTAATAACAAACCCAAAGACTTGAATCGGTGACAATAGGATAGACACATCACAGTTCACAAGACGATTGACTTTGGCGATTTCTATTGTTTTTTGAGTGTTCGACTTTTTCGATTTTCGACGATGACGTTCCAGTTCCAGAGGAAGACGATTAACGGTAGCGAGTCCAACGACTGTCCATGGGACGATGGATCGATCTTGATGATCACTCAATGCATTGGCGCATTGTCGACTGCCCGATTATATATACTCGAATACACGATTGTTGATTAAACTCTCAAATATCAATCGTTCATTGTTTCTCAAATCTCAACCCTTCAAATCTAGATACAGTCAATTGCATTTGTATTTCTTCAAATATGGATTCTGGAACTAGAAATGGAACTGTGGAAGTCGATTGCATTGTTTCTCAAACCAATGTATGATTTTGTTTCTAAATTCTAACATAGTAACATTTAATTGATTAATTTTGACATTATGTATTCATTGTATTTGCAATTGATACAAACTCTCTTATGGTAACGATTATTAACTTAATTGCTGTCCAATATTGTAATGATGGAAACTTGAGAAAAAAATCCTAGTTTTAAGAAGATGAAATTAAAGTTTACTTGTCAATGGTTTCTAGTGATTTTGGTATCAAAATATCAACATTTATCTTGTATTTATTATAATATCAAAATCCCCATGAAAAACTGGTTAGAAATCGACCAAAAATGGCTGAAAAAATCAATAAGAAAAAAAAAACTGGGTCAAGTTCACTTTTTTGAGCCTTTCCATTTGATTTTGGTCATATGTTCTATTACTATGAGTTCATTTCATTATTAGATTGGCTTAAACAGAACATAACATGATATTTGTTATTTTGGAGCATAGTGCATACAACATAAGTTATCACTTGCACACTTTGGTCTTCTGAATTTTGTTTACTCTTTTAGTTAAATCTAATTAACTAATTATAGTTTTCTTGCCTTTTAAGTTGCATATATTGAAGTAAGGTTCTATCATACTACTTTCAACTTGGAAAAGGGAAACCATAAAGAAAGGAAGCACAAGCTTAATTCATAAGATATTAAACATGTTTCCTAGATCACAACCATCATGTGCACAAAATAGAAAAAGAAAGAAAAGACAACAAGAAATTACTCAATCTTTACAGGGATCGTTAAATCGATATTTTTTAGGCAAATGTGTCTGAAAATCCCATTGAAAATTTGCCTGAAAATCCTATTGGAAATGTTTCTGAAAATCCCAATGATTTTGTTGAAAATATTGAAAATGTGTGTACTGATGAAGTTCTGGATGATGAAAATCCGTGTAATAATGAAGTTAGTTTGAATATTTTTGATCCAAGGATTTAGGATGACTTAGATTGAAAAATGAAAGATTTGTTTGCTGAAAAAGGCCTATAAGGGACACCAACATCAACTTTCCAAATGATAAGGTAGGTAGACACTTTTCTTGTGAACATTATGTCCGTAAGTTATGAAATGGTGATTCTTAAGAAAGATACAGATCATTGGAAAGAAATTTTGATTAGAATAATTGATGTTATGAAATGTCTAGCACAATATAATTTGGCTTTTCGTGGATCAAATGAAAAAAATTATCAAAGTTCTAATGAAATTTCTTTTGGGTATACTTCAAATGATTGCCGAGTTTGATCCTATCATGAAACAATATTTTCGGCTAATTAAAGATTAAGAAACTCATTATCATTATCTATAACACCTGAAATTTTCCCATATTCTCTACTCCGTTCACGTCAGGATTTTCGTCTCTTTGATGAGGTATGTATTTCAATTGTGGTTATATGTATTATTCTTGGGACTTAGATCATTTCTTTTGTTATCAGATTTTCCTTAGGGTATATATATATATATATATATATATATATATTCATA